CTTTAAGCACTTGCGGAGCCCCTTCCCACAAAGCTCTACCATTGCGAAACTGTGGGTGGCAGAAGGCCATTTAGTACTGAGTCGACTTCTCTATATCCAATCCTATAGGAAGAGCTGCTGCGAATTAAGAATCGACCTTGTGTTTCTTCGTCAACAAAGAGGTGTGTGGGTGTCCACGTCAGTGCTCCTTCCATGTGTTCCCCCTGCCCATTGAAAGGGGGGGTTCCAGACTGAGAAAAATTGACCCATGGTCCAACTTTCTGGATTTAAAATCCTGACTACTATGTCCCACTACCACCTACGATTTAAGGGATGGGATTCGGGATGAACAACCCTTACCCCCCACCACCCCCACAAAAAGAGAATAGACATAAACCATTTGACCGTCCTATGGTGCAATATAGCTTGACCCCGATGCTTTTCTTAAGTTTCTCTCTCTCCGGGCGAGGAAGGCGTGCAGCAGATGCTCGTCTTGTGCGCCAAGCATTTGGAGGACCAGCAGGTCTCGCAGCTTGTTGACGCTGTGAACATGTGGCTCGAAGAAAAGATCAGCGCTGCCATTTGGCTCTTTTTTTTGGGGGGGTTCCCCTGTTGAAGTTGGTTCCAAGGGCAGCCAAAAGGAACACATCTCTTCAATTCAGCTTGGAGACTTGCACCGGGTTGTCCTTGGGCCACACCACCCCACAAAATGGCTGACCTTTGCCAAGGAGGTGCCTGAGGGCTTGCTTCAGGTGTCCTTCACCTACCTCATTTTTCAGGTTTTGGAGTCATAGGTTGAGCCCTTTGGATAGCTTCACCAAATTCTACGGAACCATATCATCTTTGTTTGCGTGCTTGTGCCTTCCCTGTGAACAAACCGAAAAGGAAGACACAAAGTCTCACATGTCTGCCCTGACCTAAACTGGGAAACCAAGAAAAGATGTAAATTCAATAGGTGCAGGGTCCCTAAAGGTCCCCTTGGTACCTTGCGAGGATGTGCCATGACTCGTATTCGACCGCAAGTGCATGTTTAGAAAGTACCAAGGCAATTAGGGGTTAACTTTTGGCTAGTCCAGTGCTTCCAGTGCTTCCAGTCGACACGAAAGGAAACCGGGCGAAACTTGTTAAGAATACCAAAGGGTTCCCTATGGCAACTGGAAGCACAGTATGATCATACGGGTTGGCCTTCATTTGCGGGGATTTTCAACCTAGTTTGGTTTTCATCGCTTTCCCCTGCACCCAACGAAAGGGGGTGCCCCCTAAAAAAAGAAAATCAGGTCAATTTCTTGACACAAGTGCCATTTCAGGAAGCTGGGGATGATGCCGGAGGCTTGTCACCGCTTCCGCAAGGCGGGGGGGGGGCGAGTATGTGGTTGTTGTTGTGTTTTGTCTCAAACTTGAGAATAAACAGAAGAGATTACACAGCGATGGTGATATATATATATATATATACACATATATATATATAGGTATGCACTGCATATGTGAGATTATGCTTCAAAATGCCAAGTCGGAAGACACACACACACACACACAAACACACCCACTCACGAACGCAAGCACTCACGACAGACTTGTTGAACCAGCCCCCGCTTTTGGCCTTGGATTTGTATTTGGCTCACCTTGAGCTGCCAAAGTACTTTGCGTCGTACAGGTGTGCTGCACAGTTTGCGACGTTTCGAGCTTGAATGCGCCGAAAGCACACATCTGCAAAACGGCAGAGCCTTGAAACATGATAGGCTGAAATCGGCAACCAACCGATGAAGTGCTCGACCAAACATGATATTTGACCCTGTTGGGGGACACTTCAAAGGCTCGCACAATCACACCCGAACGGGCTCCAACAGGAGGGCTATGTTTGGAACCATCCTTGTGACCAAGTGTTTGGGAACTGCCCTTTAGTATCACCTCGTGTCAAGGCAAAATCCATTTGTTTCAGGGTAATTTGATCCAGAATGCTCGTTTGACTGATGTTCAAGGGGTGCCAGTCCAACAGGAAGCACGGCATTTGGCCGCTTGTTGAGAAGCGGCTTCCAATCCGAAGGCTTCGACTCGCTGGAAAGGGCGCCAAACACTTCCTGTTCGACGCTCAAAGACTTCAAGTTTGGATTTGCAACTTGAAAGGATCCTTGGCAACTATCCGGACTCTGCAGAACCCTTCTAAGAATAGTGTTGGTTCTGCCAAGTGTCTTTTCCCTCAACTGTTCGAAGATCCCTTCGGATGGGCGGTTCTTGCTTTTCCCCAAAAGCTTATTGAATGTTTATTGCCCAAGTTCCCCCAAGCAAAACCTTCGCAAGGTGATCGGCCTCGCGCTGGCGTGAATCACTGCCCTCTGGCTGCAGGGCGTGCTTTTTCGGGCGAGGGTCCGAAAGGCTTCTAAGCATCCTTAAAAGCGAACGCGTTCCAAGAAGGTTCTGTGGGGAATGGGGGGCCTTTTCTTTCCTCCCTAATGAGCCCGAATGTTCAGGCCAAGCTGCCCTTTGATCCACCCTGAAAATGAGACACATCAGAAGCATAGTTAAGTGTTGAGTCTTTAGAGATGTGTCATACCCTTCACTTGGGAATTTGAGCATGGCCCCCACTTCTGTGATATCAGGGAAGCCCGCCTTTGTTTGAGACATGTGGGCCTGGTACATATATTCAGCAGCCTATGTCCTAGGTTTGTGCAACGGAATTGCAACGTGGAATGGACCGCCGGCAAGGACGGGGAACGTTTGGTGAACATTTCCCGTCTTTGGTCTATTTGGGCGGGGGGGACATGGGGGCACTCACTAAACCTTCCAAAGCCACGTTCAACTCGCTATTTTCCGATGTCCTTTGGAGCCAAACAAATTCTGACCGTGGCCCATAGTCTTGGTCGAGTCTGAGCATCCTTGTTTGATTTACCAAGTAGTGTTCAGGATGTGTTTCTTCCGCTTGCGGGGATATTCAGCGGGATAAGACTCTTCCAACGGGGACACTTGAAGATGCGAGATGGCGTGCTAGCAGATCATGCCCTCAGTCAAGTTTCGTCATGTTGCCCTAGGAGGAGTCTTGCATTCAATAGAACAATAGAGCTGTGCAAAGATGTCCACTGAGCACATGGGGTGGTGATGACTGAAGGTTCCGACAGAGTTTCCCATTTCAGATTGAATCGTCAGCGTAGTTAGGATGTGCTCAGATTGCAGACTTACCAAGATTTGCCCGTGCCAGGACTCTACGGCCCATCGGACTGCTTTTTGGCTGTTGAGAACTTCCGTTATGTGGCCCCCGAATAGCCCAGGTGACTTAAATGCATCTGATGGCCGTTGGGGTGGTAGCTGTTTGGGTTGGTAGCTCTTTGGTTTGATCGTGTCCTCGCGTGAAGGGATTAGATTGAACTTTTCGCGGGGTGTCGAAAACGCCAGTGGCTATATGCTTTTGTCCTGGGAATCAGTTCCACGAATTGGGCTTCTGACGTGCTATGAACTGCTAGTTTGTGTGATATTGAAATCCTTTGACGGACGGCGGATGTACGCCCATTTTTGAGGCTGGTCCCCAGTAAAAGGAACGACCGCCATGTGGCAAAAACAGCTCCAATCTCTCCAGGAACCCAATGGAACCTCTTTGGGAATGGCCAACGCTGGCCTTGCGCACAGTTTGCGCGCATCCTTTTACGTGTGCGAGCTGAGCAAGACGTAGTCCTCTGTTAACTGCATTTGGACCTGTGTTTTTTGCTTGGGTGCCTTGGTTTTCAAAGTCAAACCAGCCCCAAGTTGCTGAAGACATATGGACATCAGCCTAGCTTGCACACGCGTCAGACAGGTCCGCGCCTCCAGAGCCCAGATCTTTCCGGGTTTCAGGCAGCTTCAGCCGACGGGCAGCTCGGGCACCGTGCGTCAAGACGTCAAGACGTCATGTCAAGGACGCTGTAACGAGAAGCTGACCATAGGGCTGAGTTTCTCAATTGGTCGTGACGCACGGCGCGTGGTGTGCATGTGGTATGCATGTGAAATCGTGTGCAGGTGGCTTGTGAAGCGTCGGGTGCTCGCACCCGTTGTCCTCGTAATTATGGGGTTTTGCCAGTTTTCAGGAGTCACCTGCCCACCTTCCTGGAGGATTCCTCGGAAATTGCTCATGTGGCAAAAGCCGCGCCGAACGCAGGCGCTTCTGGTTCAATTCCGGGTCCGACAGGTGCCCAAGATGCGGCATGTCACAGCCTCGCTGGTAGATCTGTGAGTCCTTAGTGCGGCTCGAACTGGATGTTAAGCCAGACTGATTTCTCCCCGGAGACACCAGAAAGGAACATGGAGTGGTTTGCGACTCTCTATCGCCCAGTGAAGGGACGCTACTTACTCGCAACTTCTTTTCAAGGCAGAAACCGACCAGTCGCTTTGAGCTTGCTGCCCAGGACCGGCAGTTCGCAGTGGGGCTATTGACAGCCTGGAGTTTCGAAATCTATACATTTGAGAGGAACCTCGGACAAATCAGCCTACTTGACAAGGGCTGTGCCCAAAAACGGAAACAAAGATACCCAAAGAGAAGGGTTACCGTCTACTACTATATACCCAGAGATGAATCATGACTCTGCCCCCACAAGGCTATTGATCCGGGGTTTCATCAACTCCTTTCTTTTTGGCGCCTCGTTCCCACAGGCGTCACTGTTCCAAAGACTGGTGACTCTCGCATAGCCTGACTTTCGATTCGGGTCCTGCCCGAGAAAAGCGCGTTACACTGAGTCAGCAGGCTTCTGAGCCGCCGACTTCCCGCGTCATTATTTTGCCTGAAAACTGCATTGAGTCTGTTGGACATGCCAGTTGAATTGCTGTAAAGCATTCCCTTCCCCCTAGCGCTTGGGTCCTGGGTGACTTTGCCAAGATGCACCCAGAGCCTCAGAGCTGCAAGCTTTAAGCTGCCAGGCTCCCGATCCAGGCAGCTTTTTCCCTTTTTCATTGGTGTTTCGGTGAGCAAGGTTGACGTCGGATGAATCCAAGCCCTGCGAATCAGACTGCCGCGGCGGTTTTATTATCGAGATTTTTCTGACCAGTCGCCTGTCCATGAGGCGAAGGACCTGGTGTCGCTTGCGCAGGAGCGCCCAGAGCAGGCGGGCCCGTCAAGTTATTTTTGTGTTTGGTGGGTTCAGGGGCTAAAATGGGATCGATCGATCCCACACAGGGCTCTTCATTTTCTACCAGGGTCACTGCAGCATGTTCGGGCCGCAGCCAACAAGCGTCACATGTTAAAGGCGTGCTGCCATTTCTCGCAAAGGACGACCAAGAGCCACTTTGTGAATGCAGCAATTGGTGCTTATTTCCTCCCCCCCCGCAGGCTGCTCGTGAAAAAAGCTCCCTCTGGCCTATTTTGGAGCTCAGCTTCTTTCGAGACTCGGTTCAATTTGTTTTGCGCCCGGATGTCAGATGGCCCGGGACCAGGTGGATGACCAAATTCGCTCCCTCAGCGATTGCCAGCCAGAGGCGCCGGGTTTTTGCGAGCCTTCCGTCGTGCTGGTTTTGCAGAGTGAGATGCACAAGGGAGTTGTCAAAAAGTTGGGGACCCCTGAAACTTTGGGTTGTTACCTGTTGGTTGCCCTTTTAGAACTATCCAAAAGGCGTGTGGTCATGCATCGAGTGGTGTGCCATGGTGGTTCTTGCTGGAGAGAGAGCGAGAGAGAGAGAGATACGACGACCGAGCGTTATGAAGCATGTTCGAGAAACAGATGCCTGGGAGATCCGGGTAAGGCTGTGAGCATGTTCCAGAGTCAGTAGACTCAGAGACGCGGGAGACAATTCTGTGTGCATTGAGTGATCCGCCAGGTCGATGCGAAAGAGGCTGGACTCTCAGAAAACTTGGTTTGGATTCTAACCCAGGATCCTATTATGAGGGCAAGGCATGAGGGGGCCACTTTGCCAATATGCAGTGTTCAAACATGTGGGAGCCAAGAACATGCTCGTGCTTGAAGGGATCGCACAACCCATCTCGCACAGATCATCACGTTTTGGGCCAAAGTGGGCATGTTTGAAAGTAGGACCAGACCCATTTGGGTATCTAGACGATCGTTGTATGATGGTTTCCTCTTGGAAGAACTTGTTTATGCTCAAAATGGTGAGCCAACAGCTCGGAGGAAATCTATGAGAAGTTGTTCTGCCAGGTGTTTGAGTTTACCTGTGTTTCAGCCTTTTTTCAGCACTTAAGTGTCGTGCTCCCTTTGCCAAGGGGATTTTCAGGTAACCCCACACAAGGTCAATAGGTCAATCCTTTGATTTCAGAGCTTTGTCCAAGAGTCCAGGGACAGCCACAGCGATCTTGAGCGGCAGTTGAGCTGTTCAACCCGCAAGCTCGGCAGATTATGATCTTGGTTCCAACTGGTTCACCCCCGCTCAAACTAATTCCAGTAATATCAAGGGCACCCACGTTAAAGAATCCCCGCTGATGGTGCTTTGGGAACGGCTTGTCTTTGAGTGGGTACCCTTTTTGGCGTGGCATTCAATCGAAAGCCAAAGTAAACACACCCTTCTTGCTGGTCCCCCAATTCTTCAAACAAACCCCGAGGAAGCGGTTTTAGGCCGCAATAGAGGTGGTCCGTCCAACTTGATTTCTTCAAAATCGGCAGGTCACAACAAGGCCCATGCCTATGGGTAAGGTGTTGGTTTTGGCTGCTACTTGCGAGCATACCAGTTCGGAGTCGACTTGGCGCATTGCGGCCAGCTGATTTGAAGTAGGTGTCCTTCATCGGAAGCACCGGCCTGGCGGTGGGCAACTTCCCGGGCGCCAAACCACCGGAGGTTTGGGCCCGCGCCCGAAGCGAGCCGCTCCGATCGGTCGCACGGGCCGCACGGGCCGCACGGGCCGCACGGGCCGCACGGGCAACGGAGATTGACCGATGAAACGGGGCACAAGGAGTCATTGCCCCCACACAACACCCAAGCATGTTTGTTGCTGAATAGGGGGATAGGAGGACGCCAAGAATGGTGGCGTTCCTTGTGGCTGCTTTTCGAACCTGGGTGAAATGGTACTCTAAAAACAAACCCAACTGAGGATGTGGAATAGCAGAGGAAGGGTTGGTCCATCCTCTTCAAAGCCAACCCTGCTCTTGGGGAGGAGCGCAACCAGTCTGCATGTTCCCAGACCTTTGCCAGCTTTCAGTTTCCTTTTCCAAGAAACTTTTTGGTTTCATGTCCAAGCTTTGACCAGCAACAAGCTGGATTTGTTGCACGCGGTGCATTCAATTAGTGTGAAGCACGGCCCGTTCCCTTTTGGGCCTGGGGTGACCAGTCTGGGCTGATGCGGGCAAACCATCCCAAGTCGATGCACACGGGATGGCACCTCTCGATATGGTGGCAATTGGTATAGCCTTGTTGGGTTCTGCTTTATGCAAGGCCGGCTCAATAAATGTTAAGTGTATCTTCAAACCTGCCTCCACACCATGGCTTTCCCCACGCTCCCTCAAGTTGGGCGCCTTATTGGTGAAGTGTGTGTGGCCCAGTCGCCAAGGACGCTGTTGATGCTGTCCTGAATTGCGGAGGCGAGCATGCGCCCGGTTTGCGAACTGAGCGGCAAACCCTCGATCCGGAACATATTGCATTCTGGTCGTCGAATTGCTTAAAGGGCATGGAAGCGAGCGTTGTGAAAAACTTGCTTATTGGCCGTTGCCCGTTCTTAAGATGAGGGGTTAGGCTTTTACCGAAAGGAAGTACTAGAGCAAAGCTGAAAGTCGGGCGTGGGTCTTTGGCAGGCAGAGATTTGGCAAAAGTACCCGAGCAGCGCCAAAAACGCCCAGGGGCCCTTTTTGCGGGTGGTTCTACTACCAATGTGAGAAGGAAAATAGAGAGGCCTCTACAAAGCTTGAATGCCATATTAGCGGAACCCAAAGTCGATGGGTTGGAGGTCTTGTTCCCCTTGCCAGGAGAGGAGCACGTTGCAATGCGCGGCGGCATCCCAAGTTCAGCCAGACAGGGCTCATTTGGCGACAGATCGGGCCCATGTATACCCGGCTGTGGAAGCCATGTTTATCGAGTCCCCCTTCAACTCAGGCCCGACGCCTGTAGCTGATCTTTGGTGCATTTTGCTTGGATGTTCGGACTCTAACTTTTCGCCAACTAATGGGTTTTCCCTTAAACCACTAAAAAATAGCAGGGGAGCAGAAAGCAACCGAGTGATGTGCGAGGTCACACCGGCACCTTGGCATTCAATCAACTTCGCGCCTGCAACCTGAGGCGACAGCCGCTACTTGCAGCTGGCGGCCGCGGATGAGAAGAAGCCAGTCTCCCAAGAATTCCAGCAACATGGACTTAGATGGCTGTGGGTCAAAACCAATGGGATCCCATTTTGGGGTAGGTGTACCAACCATTTTAGAACCTATTTTAGTGGTTGGATTGGTTGATGTTCACTGGGGGTGCGGGCTTTTGATTTTGACCCGTCAGATGTCACGAACCGATAAGCTGAACATGAGTTCGAGTTAAATGAGTTGATGCTTCAACAATAGCTCAAGTTGAGTGATCAATCGGATGTCTTCGAGTTCGGGCCTGGTGGACTCTCAGTGAGTGGATGGGCTGTGCTATTCGAGTTGCTCGTGTGGCAAGCACCCAAAAGATGATTTATTGGCCGGCAAACAGCGGTTGGTTTGACAGCTGCATCAACTCTGGAAGTCTTCGAAATTGAGAGGTCAGCCCAGCACTAGGTTCACCCCCACCATGACTTTGCAGATTCCAGGTGAACCCTGAAATTGGGCAGATTTAGGGTTTCGGGCGGGTGCTCCTTTACCAGAGGATTGTAACGGCTGGTTGGTATGTGACACTCAAGGAAAACACGATTTCTTTGCTGCCATATGTATCCATCATATATTGGTGACGTTGGTCACGAGATGAAGCCCTGTCTTATACCAAAGTCTGTTTTGTTTTTGGTTATGACATCCGAAGTTCAACACGGAAATGGTTTCTCTCTAGCTGTCGGATTTTCGGCTGGTTCTGACTCCCAAGCTCTCGCTTTGGCAGGCAGGACCCCAGCAAGAGCTGGTGGCAGGAGGTGCTCCTGCCACGCGCCTTGCGCTTCCTTTGGAGGCAGATCTGGGGCTGGTGTGTTGGGATTTGTAGGGTGAGGAGTTTGGTGGGGGGCTGCCTTCCTTTGTTGTTTAAGCATGGCTGATGATTGGTAAGTTCAGGCAAGATAGGCAAGCGATAGGCAAGCCTCAGGCAACTGGGCCAACTGAGACGTAGACAAAATCTTGAGCCCGTGGTTCATGCTTCGCGGGGGAGGCGGCAAAGCTTCTCAAGAAACGGTCAAATTCGGGCTACATGCGGCAAGGGATGGCTCAAACGTACACATTGGGTCAGTCCAGATCACCACGCTAGCCAGCAAATTTGTTAGGCGTCCGAGCCCTCGTTTTCGCGTGTGCGCCGAGAAGCAATCATGGGATTCGCAGTTCTGCAGTTATCACAGGATGCGTATGTTCCCTCTCCCTTTGATCCCGGAGTTCCTAGACTTGATACTTATGACCCTTTCAGGGGCAAACAGTTGAACTTTCGATTGGTGGGCTCCCACCCGGGCTGGTGGCAACAGTTCGTTGCCAGGCATCTGCGGCAAGGCCAGCGAGTGCGCCCACGGTGCAATCCATGGAGGGCTTGCGTTGCCTTTAAAGGTGTCTTTTCACCATAGGGATTTCGAAAAATGGAGGGGGAACATGCCCTGGACGCTCGGCACTGGCACCCTTGTGGCGAATGACGTGTTTTGCCGAATGGTAGGTACGGACCCGTCGGATCATCGGACTGATCGGATTTGCCTGACTCGTCATTTGACGCATGGGACGGGGAAGGAGAGGACACATCGGACTCATTTGTCTGATCCGACTCATCGGACGGACAAGGTCATCGGACCTATCGGAGTGATCGGATGCCTCGCGCGCATCGGATTGAGCGGACGCATCGAACCCTCATTCTTCAGACGCTCATTTGCACATACCGCTGATCAGATGGCGACGTCGGGCACATCGGACTGGTCGAACCCCCCGCCCGCCGACAGATTGTGCTTGTCGGACTTTTTGGGCAGACTCTCAGACCCCTCGGACTCTTCGGACTCCTCGGGCCCTTGAACCCATCGAACGAATTGATCGGACTCCTCGGACCTGTCAAAAAGGATCGAGGCAGGGCTCATCGGTCTTCTCGGGTTGTGCGGTCTGATCGGACTCCTGCTTCAGTTCGTCAGACAGGACTCACCGGACCCATCCGGCGTCCAAATTGGGGCTGGATCATCGCACTTCTCGGATCGGATTGCTCAGACAACTCTTGCAGGGAGGTCGGCACTATGTGGCCCAGCCTTCCCAACATTAAACCCTGAATGAGAAAAATGTCTTGTTGGTGTCCTTGCTGCTGCATTGGTTCATTCCCAAATTTGGTTGCTTGCCTGACCAGCAATACCTGCCATAGGCTTCAAAAGGGGTCCCTCTTTGTGGTTTCTGTTGGTTCCAAAAAACAATTTAGGGTTCCAAGACCCTTTTCTGGAAAGCCCTCAAAGGCCGGAACTGAAATAAGATCTTACCCTAGGGCTAGAATGACACGAAGCATCAGGGTTTTCCTCCATTCCCCTTTTGAAACCTCCAAAAATGGCAGTTTCAATGAACACCGCCAGTACATTGATGAACACTTGCGAAAGGGAAATCCAGCGACCCCTGACCATGGGGCTTCCAAGACAGACCTTGAGGTACTCATCCACTGCACCCGCGGGGACAACCGCGCGCCGGCAGTGGCGGCCGCGGCGCTGGCAGCCTTTGGCCGGGGCTCCAGCCTGTCCCAAGACCATATTTGAGATCTTGTGAGGTCTTAGCAGCGCACACACAAGTTTGTTTTGTTTTTATCCACCCCCAAACTCCTTAAAGGTCGCGCACTTCGTTCATTCGTCTCAGTTGCTTGGACAGCATGTTCAAGATCCCAAGCAGGTGGTGGAAGCGACCGACTGGCAATTTGTGTTACACACTTTGTTGTGTGAGCACCATCAATGATTGGTTGAAAGGTTGGAGAATGCAGAATATGTCTTTCAAAGCTCGGACCATAGCGAGAGAGACGGTATGTTACGTATGTTATATATGTACATGTACATATACAACAAGATCATATGATAGCCAAGAGAAGAGAGAGAGAAAGAGAGAGAGAGAGAGAGAGAAGAAACTAAAAAAACAAAACAAAAACAAAACAAACACAAAAAAAACACAAAAAAAACACGAGATCACATGAGCCTTTACGAAACTACCTTGACTTGGCTAGCTAGTCCTTGACCTGCAGTTCCTCGCATCAGTACGCTCATGGCTGGCGTGCTTCACGGAAATGGGCGCCCAATCTGTTCTGCCTTTCATAGAAACATGAAGAGGTGCGGTCCTGGATCTCTGCGGAAATTGTGGTACATTGAAACGCTTGCGAAACATGAACCAGAATCAACATATGGCTGTGGGTCAAAACCAATGGGATCCTTTTGGGGTAGGTGCACCACCCATTTGAGTCGACATTTTAGTGGTTGGATTGGGATGTTCACTGGGGGTACGATTTGGATTTTGACCCTTGGCCATGTTGGGTTGGTTTCGACAAGTCCCGGCAAAGGGTTCAAAGCACCGGATTCGTTTTTGAGGCAAAAGGATGGAGATGTTCTGCTTCCTTACGTTTCAGGGAAGTCCGAATGAGACACAATCAAGGCCTAAGTGAGTGAAGGTTTGTAATGGACAATCCTAACCAGAAATAGGCACGGCCACTGTTCTCTACATGCTTTTGGCTAATTTCGGCTGAAGTGAGGTTCGGACAAACTATGCAGTCTACGGGTTTTGAGGGAGATGGGAGGACTCACAAACTGTCCACGCAAATCAGCGGCGTAAGACTCATGCTCCCTGAATCCTGCGCGGGTTCCAGAAAGGAGATTCCAACGATGGAGTTTTGGGTTTGTGAATTATGGAGGAGTATCCTTGAATTTCGCCGGTGCCCCTTGGTTTGAAGGGACACCGGGACACCGTTTTGTAAAGCCCACCCATTCCGGGGGTCCAAATCCTAATGTCGCCAGGATCTTCGTGTAGAGAGCTGGAGACCAGGAGGCCGAGTGCGTACCTGGGGGTGTCCGGTGTCGTTGTTCGAGGGTATACATGGGTATACCGTGTTTTGTGGTTGGTTTCAAGGGAAGCCAAAAGGACAACTCAAGCCTGTTCTGAGGGTAATCCACACGTATCCCCGCTTTCAAACTGAGTTTCTGTCGGAGATGCTCAAAGGTGCCTTTCCGAGCTCACCGATGGGTCCCTGCAGCATTGCTTGGAGCTTGGTGAATCGTCATGAGGGGCAGGTAAAGGAAACTGAACGGGCGCCAGAATGCCAGCAATGGCGGCTCTATGTTGGAACCCATGTATGAGGACTTGCAATCGTTTGTCATGGATGGCTGGCCCTTTGTGAATTTTCTTACAAGAGCTTTGTAGCCAATTGATCACCGGGCACCTTCCTTCCCATTTTTGGGCCCCGTTTAACACGGAGTGAACACACAATTTGCCAGGCTGGAGAAAGCAGATTTGCGGAGGCAGGGCTCACAGTCTGCGGCACAGTGCCAACTTTCAATCAGAAAAGAAAACACACCAAACCAAGCAATCTGATCAAGCGGTGGGATTGAGTTGTCGCTTCGCGCCGCACGGATGTCCAGGCAAATGGAACCAGCTCCCCGATCAGGTTTAACGAACCCAGGAAGGTCCTCTGCTGGGGTTATTTTGTCCGGAATAGAGGTGTGTTCCTATTCACCCGAGCCTATCGTGAACTGCTTCAGGTGCTTGGTGACGGTGGCCAGCTCAGGTTCCGGTTGGGGCATGTCTAACAGTCTAACATGAAACCTGACATGTTGTGAGTCCCAGAGGAGTGACGAGAAAGTCACATTTGGCCCGAACATGTTTGCTGACACGTATAAGTATAATAGTCAACATTATTTGTTCACATGCATGCATGTACATGTTTATACAATGCATGTACGTACAAAATATATATATATATACACAATCGAATGCACCATATAAGGCTACGTATACAAATGATATCACGTTTGTTGCGCTCACCACTCATGTTTGTTCAGCGCTACGTGAATTGGTCAGCATGAACATCTCACATCCGCAGAATCTGCATCTAGTTAAAGCGTGTGTTTTTTTGTTTGCTCGCTCTCACAGCTTCCAGTCCCTGAGGTGCAGTGCTTCCATCCCTGCGCAGTGCCCCGCCGCATCATGCAGTTCCTAAACTTGCGCCTCGGCGATGGATAAGCCACTCACAATTTAGTGAAAACGGGGCTGCAGTATAGAGCCTCCGGCTCAGTCCGCCAAAATTAGTCCTCTCCCTTTTCTCCTTCTTCCTCTCTCTTTTTTCTCCTCCCCCGTGTGTTCCCTCGTCCTCTCTCCCTCTCTGCCTCTCTCCTCCCCATCCTCCCCATCCTCCCAATCCTCTTTGACTCGCTCTCTTTCTCTGTCTCTCTCTCTCTCTCTCTCTCCTCTCTCTCTCTCTCTCTCTCTTTCTCTCTCTTTCTCTCTCTCTCTCTCTCTCTGTTTCTCTTTCTCTTTCTGTCTCACTCTCTCCTTCCTCTCTATGCCTCTCTCTATCTTTCTCTACCTCCTATCTATGCCTCATTCTCCCCACCTCGTATCTCTGCTTCCCCGCCCGGTCGCTGCCTCTCTCTCTCTTTCCTCTATCTTTCCTCTCTCTTGCCTCTCTCTTTCCTCTCTCTCTTTCCTTCCCGTCGCTCTCTCTCTCTCTCTCTTTCTCTCTCTGTCTCCCGCCGTCTATCTCTCTCTCTCTCGCTGTCTCTCTCTCTGGCTCTTTCTCCGTCTTTCTCTGTCTCTTGCTCTGTCTCTTTGTCGATCTCTGTCTCCTTCTCTGACTCTTTCTCTGTCTCTCCCTCTTACTCGGTCTCTGTCTCTGTCTTTCTCTCTCGCTCTCTCTCTCTTTCTCTCTCTGTTGGCATTGCAGCGTCATGTCCCCCCTGAGTTGCCTCGACTGCCCCTTCATGACCCCTGAACTGTCTTCGTACTACTGGCTCTCCCCTTTGATTTCCCCTTCATGTGCTTTTCATGTCTCGTCATCTCCCAGGATGTCCTCGTCATGTCCCCGTCCATTCCAATCATTTCCCTACATCTCCATTCGTGTCCTTTGGTTTCCTTGTCCTTTGTTTGCCTTTCAGTCCCCCCCCGCTGCTTTCATTTCTTTCCCCTTCATGTCCCTTTCAGTTGCCCTTTGTTGCCTTTTCATTTCTTCCTGTCCCCTGCATGTCCTTGCATTTTCCTTTATTTCCTCTCCTCATTTCCCTGCACTTAATCGCATTTTCCCTTCGCTCCCTGGCATTTTTACCGAACAAGTCATGTTTTGTTTCCCACGTGTTCGCAAAAAGGATGTGAAAAACAGAGTTGTTTCCAGAGTTTCAGCAAAAGGAGGCCGAACACCCTGAACCAGCAAAGAGCCGGCAGGGACATTCGAGCCTGGGAACCCCCTACGTATCAGACGTCGGGGGGGGGGGGGTATGGGAGATGATTATCCTTTGTCCTCTCTTAAGTATCCGACACGCCGAGCAATGTCGGCGGATATATTTATCCCTTTAGTGGTCATATAGCGGCTGGATGTCTCAGATCCCAGTAGATCCCGTTTTCCTTTTCGTGGTGTCCTGGGTTTGTTAAACGATGTGCGAACCCATTAAACTCACCGCAAGACAAAAGAGGTATCCTCAAGAACAGACACAGCCATCTCGTTGGACTCAACGATCACGGGGGTGCAATGCCAACTTTGGATTAACCCAGAGGACCATACTAATCGGCTGTGGTTTGGCTTGGAGAATGGTTGACTTTATGAATCCGAAGAATGGTCCTCTGGGTTAAAATGGATTGACCAATGGTTTCGCTTGGAGAATGGTCTTACCGAGGATGAGGAATCCGAAGTTGACGTTATCCGACCGCTCAGGTTCTTCGTGACCGAAGGAGGTGGGTGGCCGGCCACCTGGAAAGTAGGGTCCAGAAACTTTCCGTGCGCAGTGTGTTTTCCTTCGGGTTTTTAGCAAAGCCCAAAAACTCAGGTTTTCTAAAGCAA